TGATCCTGTTTTCTAGCCTGGTAGGAAGTTTCTTTTGTCGGTGATGGGGGTGGGGGGCAGGGAACAGAAGCTAAAATCATCGGAGGGCCAGAGCAGATAAGGAACATCTGAAAGACAGCCTCACTCAAACTCCCAATTTTTCCGTGTCAATTAACTGACCCATATTTGCTGACTGAAGAGTTTCCAAAGTCCTTCAGCCCACCTCGTGGCATTTTGAGGAAGCAGGATGAGAAGCATTCCCTTCATCTTCAAAATTATGAAGGTGAGGCTAGGCGAGCTGGCTCACCCTCACCATTGCCTCACGCTGGCTCTGGGTGGAAGGCCGCCTCTCTAAGGTGGGGGGGACTCGGGCATATTTTAGTATCAATTGCTTGCATTGATAATTATGTTGCAGCCTGCATCTCTGTGTTGGAAGAAACTTCAGGGGTCATTTCATTGGACCTCCTAGGAGCTGCAGTGCCGCGTGACTGTGTGCAAGTCACGGCTCCTCTGAGCTTCAGTTTCTTCCATCGGCAAACAGAGCGAAGGAGAATGATATCTGGGGGTCGCACAACTAAAGACCCTGAGAAATGTTATGACCCCCAAACTGCCGGTGCTTTTGGACGTTACCCTCTTCCCTTTGCAGGAGTCACCACACCCTAAATAAAACCCCTAAATAAAACCGCAGAAGTTGTCGACTAAGAATTTGCAAAGCTGATTTGCATGTGATTTGCACAGCGTGTTTATCGGCGCCCAAAGAGGTCTACTCTTCAGAAGGCTGTGAGGCTGGCCTGAGGAATCTCTCAGGACAAGACTCACTGTGCCCGCTTGATCCAGAGACAGTGGCCCTAGCTCTGAGCCACCTCAGTGCCCAAGGGAAGGCAAAGGGGCTGGACCACAGGGACTGAAGTGGTTTAAGGACAAAGGCATCACTAATACATCCACCTAGGCGCTCGGACTTCCTTACCGGCCCCCCCTCAGCAAAGACAAAGTGTTCGATTTCATTCTGGCTAGAATGCCACTTTCTGGGGGGTCACCTTGGTGCACCCAGAGGCCCCATTCTCTTCTCCTTGGGTGAAGTGCAGGGAGAACTCAAGAGGGCAGAAACCAAAGAAAGGGAGTGATGGAGGAGGAAAAGGGGATGGAAGGGGAAGGAAGGGGTGACGGTCAGGGGGCTCAGGCTCCCTCCTTCAACATCCCCTGAGGTCACTGGGGGAGGATACTGGGCCCTGGGCCAGCAGTGGGACTTTTGGGGCTCCCCTACAGCCTTGGGTCCCCACAGGGAACCCGACCGGAAGAGCCCAGCGCCCTCTCACCTTTTATTTGCGTCTCATACTCGGCCTGTAGCCCCCGCTCCCGGCGCAGCTTCCCGTGCGCGGCCATGGCAGCCCGGGCAGCGGCGCCGTCGAGCCCTGCTGCTACTACACAGGGTTCCTGGGGCTCCGCAGCCAGCACCCGCCACCAGCCCCGCCCAGCTCCGCCCCCAGCGCAGCCCCGGGGCGGGGCGACCCCCGGCCTGGCAATGCCCTCGAAGGATGCCTGGGGGAAGGGGTCCCACTGAGCTGGGGCCTTGCCACCCCTCCCGCTGGGCGCTAGACCACACCTGGGCCGCCTTGTGCCCAGAGCTCTCGTGCCAAGCAGCCAGGGCCAGTGTGAGAGCCCCAAAGTGCCCAGCAAGCTGGCACCCCCTGGCTGCTGACCTGCCACCTCTAAAAGGCTGCCTAGCCACCACTGCCATACAGCACTCTTCACAGCATGGCCACTGGCCCTCAATGCTAGGAGCTGCTCCAGGCCCTGGACTTCCTTGAGTCACCAGCTTCCCCCAGAACCTTAGGGTTTTAAGATGGAGCCCACCCTTCCCAAGTCACAGCCCTAAGGGATAAGTGCAAGGAGCCTGGAGAACTGGGTGCAACGTTCCCAGGGTGGGCTGGGAAGGAAGGTCAGCACCAGAGGATAGAACCTCAGCCGTTGTTCCCTCCAGCCCCCCTATGAGGGGGACAGCAGGGCTCAGCTAAGGTTCCCCTTTTGCTCCACCCCATAGGGAGGAACAAGCCTTGTTTCCCCATAGGTGGTTACCACTTCCTGCTGCCGGAAGAGACTCTGTCTCCTTTCCCCTGCAGCTTGCACCTGTCCTGTCCTAGGCTTGGGGGTGGGGGTACAGCCTTCCCCCTGCCCCTTCAGAGCAAGCCTGAGGGTAAGCCTGCCCCCCCCCTTATCCAGGGGTACTGTAGTTTCCCTGCACCCCTCTCTAGCAACTCAAAGCCACAGGGCAACAGCTTTCCTCCAGCAAATGGGGAAGGCAGGAGCAGGTGGCAGGTGACAAGACAGACTATACCACTGTCTTCAGTTGGGTGGGAGGGAAATCCCTGGGGTATAGATGGTGGGAGAGGAGTGAGGCTTGTGCTCAGGGAGGCTGGTTTGTAGGCACTAGTGCGAGGGGTCCAGGCCTTTGTGTGCAGAGATATCAAAGCCAGGCTCTGTACACGTGTGAGCACATGTGACCTAGACCTGCAGCCCTTTGGGAGGGCGGGGCAGGGGTGCAGGTACTTCCTGCCTTTCAACTATAAGCAATTCTCTTACCCAGAAAGGGAAAACATACCTCCTCAGCTTGCTGCCCACCCCCCCTCCCCCAGTACCAAGGGCCTTCTCTAGGATGTTATGTGTCCATGAGGCTGGGGCTGGAGGCTGGGGAGCTGGCCAAATCCCAGCAGTCCCAGGACCTGCGCCTCCAGCAGCAGGTCTCAGCTGTACCAACTGTTTGGATCCTTCAGCAAGACAGGTGAGGGAGCCTCTCCTGCCCCCTCCTGCAGCAAGGGTGCCCCCACCCCTGAAACTGCTCCTGTGTCAGGAACCCATGCTCCTCATCAGCAAACTCCAACATACCTTCCCCCCTTTTCTCCATCCGAGCCCTGAGTGATCCCTAAAAGCCCCTCAACCATCCAACAGAGCCTAGCAGAGGGTTCAAGCCCCCAGGAAGCTGATGAACTCACCTCAGCCCCTACTTTCAAATGCTCTCAGTCCTTTTCTGACTCCAGAAATGCTGACGCAATGCCCCATCCAGCCACTGCTTTAAAACCTCAAGTAATTAGCCTTAGCTTTTAGGACACTTGTTTGGCATTTAAGGCCTTAACTAGCCTCAGTTCTATTGTTCCCAGAGAATTCAAAATCCCATTATCCTGCATTAGGCAAGGACCAGATCTGAGGGACCTTGCTAAACCTGTTAATGAGTGCAGTGTACACTTGGTCCTGAGGGGTGACCGTGGTCAGATCTGCTGCATGGCTGACAGAGCAGAGGGGAGATGAGATAAAAGGGGAGGTTGTTACAAGCAGTCCACATCAGAGCAAGAATTGGGCCGTGAGGCCCCTCCTATTTACCTACAAATCAGCTCTCCAGAAGTTTAACAATGAGGTGCAATGTTATGCACCTCAGTGTATAGGCTCTGGGGGGCGGGGGGGGGGAGGTGGAACGCCCCCGCAGCGTATCCCAGCCACATGGCGAGAGGGTAAGGGAGCCTGCCTTCCCTCCCTCAGCCTTCCACCCACGGCTCGGTTCATAGGAATGGAAGCGGCCCCTCCCAGAGGAAGGTGCTGCAGAGGCAAGGAAGTGCTGGGCTCCAAGGGCCATTCGGGCCTGTGGCTTCCCCTCCCGCTCCCCCCCCCCCCCCCCCCCCGCAGTTCCCACCTCCGCCCAGGAAACTCAACCGCCTGGGGGCGGCCGAGCTTCAAGGGCCCGCAAGGGAACAGGGCACCGAGGGCAAAGGGTGTGCTAGGTCCCTGTGGGCTGGGCAGAGAGAGGAAGGCGGGCGCCGCGCAAACCTCCACCGGCTCCCTCCCACCAGCGTTGGGGCGCGGCCTAGGCAGCGCCCGTGAACGCTTGCCTCCGCCGCCGGACCAGTCAGAGCCTGGGAACGAAGCCCGCCGCCGCTTGCGAACCAGAAGGGACTGACGCCAGACGCGGAGGGCGGAGCGAGTAGCGGAACCAATCAAAACAAAGCGCTGCCTGAACCAGCGAGCGAGCGGCAGTGCGCAGACGCAACCCTCAGACCTTACCCCCGCCCCCTAGCTTCAGCGCCCCCTGCTGATCACGTGTCAGGCGCCAGCCAATGAGATGCGAGCTCTAGCCCAATGGCGAAAAATTCAGCCAGGCAGGGGGAACAGCGTGCCATCTGCAGTAGCAGGGACATAAGGTAGTGACAGCTCAGGAGTGCTGAGCTTCCCTGGGAGGTGGGCAGCCCAGACAGCGTGCTCTGGGGCTAGGAGCAGCAAGTGATGGCGCTGCAGCCAGAAAAAAGGGCACAGGAACAAATTTGGGGGTTATAGTGAAGCTGTGAAAAATAGAAGGCTTATATTCTGCATGAAATGACAGTATGCATTTGTCAAAATCCATAGAGGGAAATGTAAACCCTGGACTGTATCAATATTGGCTCATCAATTGTAACAAATGTAACACAATACTGAATGTTAATAGGGGAAACTGAGGGGGTAGATGGGGTGTGTGGAAACGCCACACTATCTGCTCAGTTCTGTAAACCTAAAACTACTAAAAATAAAGTCTATTAATTATTTTTAAATTAAGGCTTAGGTTAGGAAGTAGATTCAAGGGACACAGGACCCACTGACCTTTTGGATGCAGGAGACGGAGAAATCAAAAACAGTTGCCAGAACTTCAGCAACTGGGTAGCTGGTTGGGCCATTATCCAGATAGGACATCAGTGGAGAAGCCCGATGAGCAGTTGGACTTAGGCATCTAAAGCCCAGCAAGGCAGTGAAGAGCAGGGCTCAGAAGGCAGAACATCTGTCTCCAAGGTGGGGGTGGCTCCCAGAACTCCAAGGTCTCCCTCCCTAGCGCCCAAAGATGCTGAAAGCCATCAGACTTGGGAGTTCCACCTCCAAAGCCCACACGAAGCTACTCGGACTTTCCAGGATGCGCTGTGCCAAAGAGTCATGAGGTCCAGCCCCACAGGGACACAGAGGGGCCTGAGAGAGGCAACCCCCCACAAATGCGCACACTCGCACACACAAACCCCCCCCTGGGTGAAGTTTATTGTGTAACCTCGGGTGAGGATGGGAGGGCCAGGGCAGGGAGAGGAGGCTCTAGGAAGCTGAGTCGGAGGCCTCTGAGCTGTCCTTGACATCGGTGCTCTCTGTGGTCTCGCTGACCTCGCTGAGGTCCTTGCTGTCACCACCGCTGTCCTCGGCAGCCAGGCCCTTCTCCTCACGACCGGACTCTCCTGAGCCGGGCAATGAGTTGCCCTTGCTCTCCGCCTTGTTCTCGATGGCGCCCAGCACTGTGTGCCTGCCCTTCTCCTTCAGCTCCAGGTGCCGCCTCAGCTGCCACCAGAAGCCCAGGGAGAAGCAGGAGGAAGATGACAGGGCCTAAGTCTCCAGACCATGTAGGCCCTCTCTGGCTGCCCAAGGGAGCCTGTGTCTGTCACTTGCTGGGGGCAGAGGGTAAAATGAGAGGCAGCAGGGCCAGGATAGGAAACACAGGACTGCATTGAGTTGAATCCTGGCTCTGCTCTCCCTGGGGTTGTTTTCTCTCCTATAAAGGGAGTATGCTCATGCCTCCCTCATCTGGGCTGCTGTAGGACTTGACTTTCTCCTCAGCCCTGTTTTGTCTTACCCCTGAGCCTTGGGGCAGGCCATGGCTGTCCCCAGGCCCCCACTGCTATCCTGGAGCCCTCATTCTCAGTGCATCCACGGGCCTCCCTCCCTTGCCTCTCACACCATGCCTCAGAGTGGTACAGGCTTCTTCCTGAGAATGGAATCTTGTGGCCTCCTTCAAGGCCCTGACAAGGCCCAGCTCCCTACCTGACAGCTGGGGAAACTGAGGTGATGAGCTCAGCAACGTAGCATTGTCCCAGCAACGTAGACACAATGGCTAGCACCTGATCCATCTTGTCTCTAGCCCATCACAGGCCTCCTACTGTCTCAGGGCCCCTGGGAGCTTCACCTTCCCTCCAGCAGGGGCTCCCCTACTTACCTTGCTCTTCTTTATCTGTGGGGACTGTGGCCCTGGCCCCCCTAAACTTACCTCATCGGCCATCTGGGTGAGATCCCGCTTCATGGCATACGCATCTTCCCCATCTGCGTAGTATTTGGGTTCCACTTCACTGATCCTGTGGGCAGGGGTTGGAGAGAAGGAGGACAGCCCGAGAATCAGGGGTCAAATTCTCCTCAGCCTTCTGGCATCATATGCTAGTGGGGCAAGATGTCATTTCCACCCGAAGGACCCTTTTGTAGACAAGCCCCATTTCCAACACAGCCTTCCCTCTGCTCTGTCAAGCAGTAAGTAGTACCTAGCGCCTTTATCCTTCTCCCCACTCCCTGGGTCCTGCCATGGTCCTGCCTATCCTAACCCGGTTACCAAGATCTTTCTGTGGTTTCTTGTGAGCTGAAGCCCTGAATTTAACCATCCACTTCCCTCCCTGCCCTGCTCCCTGTCACTTACCGAGAACGCACTGTCAGTCCCTATGCCTCACAATTGGAACGGGGAGGAGGATGCTGCACCCTCTGTTCCTGACAGGCACTGCCAGGCATGGCCCTGGCCTGAGCAGTGCAGGGGCTGAGCTTTCACTGGAGGTGTGCCTGCAGACTTGGGCATCTGCCACTGAAAGGGGGCCTGGACTCGATGGCCTAGAAAGTCCCTGCCATACCTAAGCCCCTGGAACGGTTGATCAGAGGTATCAGCATTTGGGTCAAAGACTGCTCCTCAGATTTTATCACTGTGGGGAGGACAGGAGGCCCACAGGTGCACCTCTGCCCTTCACATCTGTCACATCCACCCAGGCCCTGACGCCCCCACCGAGGCGATGGAGGTGTTGCAGGGCCATGCGCTCTGCCCTAGTTGCATTACCCTGAACTTTTCAATGCGTTTAAAAAAAAAATCTGAATGCAGCCCACCCAGAATCATGCATGCCTCCCTGCACAGCCTCACATGGGAACTCTAGACCAGCAGGTCCCATAGGTGGCCACCAGACACGTGGCCCCTTGAGACATGCTGCCAGTGTAAAACACACCGGAATCTAAAGGCTTAGCAAAACGAAAGAAGATGGCCTGACCAGTTTGGCTCAGTGGATAGAGCGTCAGCCTGAGGACTGAAAGGTCCCAGGTTCGATTCCGGTCAAGGGCATATACCTTGGTTGCAGGCACCTCCCCAGTGGGGAGTGTGCAGGAGGCAGCTGATCGATGTTTCTCTCTCATCGATGTTTCTAACTCTCTATCTCTCTCCCTTCCTCTCTGTAAAAAATCAATAAAATATATTAAAAAAACAAAAGAAGATGTAAAGTAACTCAATAATTTCTTATATTGGTTACCTGTTCAAATGAGAAGAATATGGATTTATTGGATTAAATAAAGTAAATTATTAAAATGAAAAAAAAATATTGTTCCTCAAATGCCCTTCACAACAGTCCCTTCTCATCCTCCACCAAACTGAGGCCGAGTCCTGTCTCAGGAGATTCCTACATGGACAGCCCACCCAGCCTCACTTTCAAGTAGCTTTTGCCATCATGTATTGGGTGCGTCGATTCCCTTCCAGGCTCTCTCTGTCCTGTGCCGGGCATACAGAGACTCCAATGTCCCTGAGTGGACCCACCCTCGTCCACCAGGACGCCTAGGGCTCTAGGTCAGCGGGCGCTAACCTTTCGGATCTCAGGGACCACCAGTGGTCTGCGGAACACCGGTTGGCGACTGCTGCGATCCCTCTGCTCCCCAGGCTGACAGCGCATCCTACCTGGATGTGCCTAAGCTTCTGTAGCAGCACATTCTCCTTTCTTCTGGTCCCATTGGATGCTTTTAGGTACCTGGCCACTTTGAGTTCTATTCCTAGGCTTCTGCTCATGTCCTGAGCCCTCATGTATACTCCCGAGTAGCCCATGTGCCCTTCACCACACTGCCCGTCATCTGCTCTCGGCCACCATCAAGCAATCGCTCCTCCACCCAGCAAGACACACCACACATCCTCCTGCATCACACAATCCTTGGGCAGATGGCAGCAGGCAAGTGCCATTGCCACTGAGAATGGAGGAGGCACCCTGGCAATGTGTGTGGAGTCCAGGACCTGCTCCCCATCTCAGCTGCCCCTGCCCCCCAGCCCGGAAGGCAGCTCAGTCCATCTCAGCCACATGCATGAGCCAGCCAGACCTGGGACCACCCCACACCATTAGAAAAATCTAGATCTACTTACTGAAAGTTGAGGGTGTTGGAATAGAGGTGCAGGGCGGCCCGGTTACTGCAGGGGAATAAGGCAGTGCTGAGCTGCACAGGTTCGGCCAGGCAGGGACAGCACGTCGAGGTCCTGCCCCTTTTCCTAGTGCCCCCTCCCCACTAATCCCACTTCCCAGATCTTCTCCAAAAGCCAGGGCACCCCCAAGACCCACATCAACACAGTATCTTCTCCCCACTCCTCCCTTCCCTCGGCCCCGGCTTCCACCTCTTCCTGACATGCAGGGAGACGTATTTGGCATTGAAGTTCTCGATCATGGCTCGGGAGGCCTGGTCCATCAGCTTCTGAGCCAGGCCAAGGCGCCGGTGGGAACGCTTCACAGCCTGGAGGAAGAAGGCTAGGAGCTTGAGGGCTGCCCCAACTAACCCCTACTTCCACCCCCATCAAAGCCTGCGTGGGCCCTACGCACCAGTGAGGTGATATGTCCGTGGGGCACATCATCTGGGTCCTCTTCCCTATATCAAGAAGAAAGGAGAGGGGAGTGGGGGAGGCCAGGGGATAGTCAAGGGCGGGGAGAAAAAAAAAGACACATATGTAATACCCTTTGTAATACTTTAAGCAATTAAAAAAATAAATAAATAAATAAGTAAATAAAAGCAAAAAAAAAAGAAGAAAGGAGAGAGGTTAGCAAGGAGCCTGGTGAAGATGCAGCCACCCCCACCTCCCGGCACATGCGCATGGCAGGACCATGTGCCGGGAGGTAGCCCCAGATCTGGGGTGGCAGGAGAGCTGGGACTCTCAAACCCCTCACCGCAGCCAAAAGACATGTGTAGTGTCAATGGAGTACAATGGAATATGGTTCGGTGCTAAAAAGAAACGCACTAGCAAACCATGAAAAGACATGGAGGAACCTTAAAGGCACATTACTAAGTGAAAGAAGCCAATCTGAAAAGGCTACCTCGTTTCTGATTGCAGCTAAATGACATTCTGGGGAAAGGCAAACCAAAACTATAATGAGCTACCACCTCCCACCTGTTAGAGTGGCCATTATCAACAAGACAAGCAATGACAGGTGTTGGAGAGGCTGTAGAAAAAAGGGAACCGTCATCCACTGCTGGTGGGAAGGTAGACTGGTACAACCACTATGGAAAGCAGTCTGCTGATTCCTCAAAAATTTAAGGATAGAGCTACCATACAACCACAACCCAGTAATCCCTCTCCTGGGTATAGACCCGAAAAACTCTGACCCTAACCCTAACCCGGCCAGTGTGGCTCAGTGGTTGAGCGTGGACCTATGAACCAGGAGGTCACAGTTCCATTCCGGTCAAGGCACGTGCCCAGGCTGCAGGCTTGATCCCCAGTAGGGGGCGTGCAAGAGGCAGCCGATCAATGATTCTCTCATCATTGATGTTTCTATCTCTTTCTCCCTCTCCCTTCCTCTCTGAAATCAATAAAAATACATTAAAATTTTTTAACTGAAAACTGAACTTAAGAGTCTAGAAATTAATTTTAAAAAAACAACCCAGGCAGCATCCACCAGACATGTGCAGTGCTGGTGCCCCCACCCCTGTGGAAGATCCATGCCCCATCCCCCAGCTCCCACACCAGGCTTCTCTCCCTTCTTGGTAACTCACATTTTGGCCAGGACATACCCCACAATCTTCCCATTCTCATCCTCAGCGATGTAAGAGAGCTGGGTGACAGGGAGGAGAAAGAAGTCAGAGAACAACTTCCTGTCAGAGATGAGGAGCCCTTAGCAGCCACCTAGTCCCATGGCTCGCTGTGTGCATGACAGAAGTCCCTCCAGTGGTAAGTTCAGTAACAGCTCCTGACCTCCAGGCCAAGTGCCTTGGTTTCCCCATACCACACTCTGCCCTGTCGTAGGCAGGGAGAGGACAGACACAGGTGGGAATCCTGCCCCTCCCTTGGCCCAGTCCTTAAGCTCCCCACCCCAGCTGAGAGCACCCACTCCTCCCAAACTGACGCCTGGTGTCCCCGGTCCCCAAAACCAGCTGCCCACCTGGGGCCAGGAGAGGCCATGGTAGAAGTAGTACTTCATTTGGTAGTTCTCTGGCAGGCACAGCAGGTTGCAGTGCTGCATGTTCATCAGGTCCTCTGGCTGCGGGAGGGGGGGCATGGGAATGCGGTCAGACCAGGGTCTGCAGTGACTAAGCAGGCCCAGGTCCTGTCAAAGCCCGCTCGCTGTCTGTCTATTCACTGACACCCCACTCCCCCTCGCTCCCGCCCGCCTTACCCCCGCAGGGCTGGGCAGGCCTGTCTTTACACCGGTCTGGCCCACAGCCACTGTGCAAAAATCGTCTGTTCCTGGAATGAATGTGGATGCAAGGGGAGCTCCCAGACACCATCCAACTGAGCCCCGACATCCCGCAAAGACGGGGTTTGCAGCCCCGACCCCCTCTCCGGGTAGGTCCGGCCCCCTCTTCGTGTAGATCCAGCCCCACGGGCACGATGGCCTTCACCAGCCCCGCACAGGGCGGCCGGCCCGGGACTCTAGGCCCCTCAAGAGCATGCGCACGCGGCCACCCAGCCCGCACCCACGCCACGCGGACAGTCTTCCGCCCCGGACCCTCACCCTCGCATTGCGGATGTTCATGACGGCGGCGAGGATGGCGGCTCCCAGCGGATCGTGAACGCGCAGTCAGCTGCTGCTGGCCGGACCCGGGCTGGGGCTGGGGCTGGGGCTGGGGCTGGGGCTGGGGCCGGGGCCGGGTTCGGGCTCGCGGGGGCGGCGGCGGAAGGGGCGGTGCGCGCCGGGCGGTCCACAGGCCGGAAGTGCTGCCGCTGCACCCGCCCTCGTGGCCGCACGACCAATGCGGGAGGCGGGCGGGGGGCCGGGGCGGGGCTGTCGGTGGGCGGGGCGGGGGTAGGCAAATGCTCGGGGCGGTCAGGACCGTGGGCTGGCGGGTCACTGTCCGGGTGAGCAGGTGTCCTCCGGCCACCGCGGCGGCTGCCCCTCCCTCGACCCCACAGACACACACACGCTCGTGGGCAGAGGAACAGGCTCAGCTTTATTTTGCGGCTCCGCGGGCGGGGTCGGCAGGTGGGGACCCGGCGCCCTGGGCAGGGATCGGGGCGTGGACAGGGGCTCAGCGGCTCAGCAGAGCGTCCAGCATCTCTTCGCACATGGCTAGGCACCGCGGCACGTGGAAGCAGCCTGCGGGGAAAGGCGAGATGGCGAGTTGGGAGGGCCGGGGTCAACCAAATTTCCAGAGCTCCCGAGGCCCCACCCAGTCTCCCACTCACCTTTGAAAGGACCTCCCTTGATGGTGAGGGCAACCGACCCATCTCGGTTTAGGTAGCCAAACCACTCCCCATGCTCAGGATCGCGAAACTGGAATAACAATGACACAGTGACAGCCAGCACCTACAGGAGCTGTCCATATGAGACAGGCCTGGGGAAGGGCTTCTCACTGCCCCACTGCACCAAGACCAGGGTCAGAGCTGCGGTTGACCCCAGGTAACATGGCTCCAAGGTCAGTGCTCAGCGTAGTGGTCAAAGATAAAAGCGAGGGGCTTTCCCATTTTCCCTTCCTGCCAGGTGGGTGGGGAGGATGAAAGCCTGCAATTGTTTAACCCACTGAGGGAAAGGGCCACAGGCTGTTAGATGGAACACTAGGGGATAAACCAACAAGAACCCTGCTTGGGGGTGACAGACACACTGTATCTTGTACAAATGCCATCTCTATCTCTTGGAAATATATTCCTTAAATGTGACTTCAGACAGTTTAAACTGGTGGCCTCTAACACATGTTCTTCATGAAATGCATTCAGTATTAAGATATATCCTTGCCCTGGCCAGTGTGCCTCAGTTGGTTGGGTGTCATCCCTTGCTTTGAAGGGGTGCTAATTCAATTCCCAGTCAGGACTCACGCCAGGGTTACAGGCTCCATCACCAGTAGGGGCTGTGCAGGAGGCAGCCAATTGATGTTTTGCTCACACATCGATGTTTCTCCCTCTCCCTTCCTCTCCCTTTAAAAAAATCACTAAAAAATATTTTTATACATTTATTTTTTTAAATATATTTTGTTGATTTTTTACAGAGAGGAAGGGAGAGAGATAGAGAGTTAGAAACATCGATGAGAGAGAAACGTCGATCAGCTGTCTCCTGCACACCCCCTACTGGGGATGTGCCTGCAACCAAGTACATGCCCTTGACCGGAATCGAACCTGGGACCCTTCAGTCCACAGGCCGACACTCTATCCCAGGGGTGGGCAAACTTTTTGACTCGAGGGCCACAATGGGTTCTTAAACTGGACTGGAGGGCCGGAACAAAAGCATGGATGGAGTGTTTGTGTGAACTAATATAAATTCAAAGTAAACATCATTACATAAAAGGGTACGGTCTTTTTTTTTTTTTTAGTTTTATTCATTTCAAATGGGCCGTAGTTTGCCCATGGCTGCTCTATCCAGTGAGCCAAACCAGCTAGGGCTAAAAAATATTTTTAAAGACATAGCCTTGAGTCTCATGACTTCCTGGTTTGGAAGTAGTGATGAGCTTGTGCTAGACTTGAGATGCCTCTCTAAGTACAGTGTAACATGAACATATTTGGGGTTTCTATTGGTGACAAAGTCAGGTGCTGCTACTGTGGTCACTGCCTCCATTCATAATGGGAGTAAATGCTGGGTTTCAGTTAGTGCTTAGTAAAAATAAAGATATAATTTTCCCTCCAGTTTTAAAGCCTGTGGACCCAAGAATAAGACCCCCTGCTGGTTCTTCTCCCCTTTGCTGGGCCCTCCTAGTCCCTCCTCTCCTGTACTTTTAAAAGCTTACTCTGTCTCCTGGCTTCCAGTATCATCTATATTCTTATGACACCCAAACAGTCATGGCCCAGACCTTCCCAATTAACTAGACTATGATCATCTGTCCACTGCATCTCCCACTCCAGGCCAGGCCCCCACCCTCACTGGCCAGGATGACAGCTACAGCCTCTGGCTCTGTGCCCCACAGTCTCTTCCTGAAGGCCCAGGACCCAGTAATGCCTAAATCAGAAAAGCTAATAACTCTGTACAGACCACCCCCACCACCATTATTCCTTCCCACAGCCCCTGACCTTGCTTTATTTTCCATAGTTCCCATCGCCATCTGTGCTTGCCTGTTCACTAGTTTATAGTCTGTGTCCCCCACCCTCCCCAATGAAACATGAGCTCCAGGGGAGCAGGGACTGCTTTGTTGACTAAACAGGGGGCACTGGGGGAACCTCCAGGAACTCTCAGATCAGCTGAGGGACCACATTCAATGAAGCAGAGTAGGGGGTGCGGGATGAGCCACCCTATCCCTGCCCAGCCTCCTCCCACTGCCCAGGAAAGCCTGCCCCTGGCCTGCCCAGGGAAGAATGACTGCCCACTATCTCTCCCACGCCCTTGCCCAGCCCATCAAGGGCTGTGGACCAGGAAGCAGCACTTACCTGGCGGAAGGTGTACTCAGCCACCTGGTAGAAGAGGTGCAGTAAGGCAGGGTCCCCACTGTCGCTGTAGCCCATAAGGAAGGCAATCATGGCTTCACTGTGCGGCCACCAGAGCTTCATGGCCCACTCCAGCTGAGAGCAGAGCAGAGGTAGCATCTGAGAGCCCTGCGTCCCACCGCCCAACACCTGTCTCAGCAGGAAGGTCACCCTCATCCTTCAGGACCTCGCTCTGATTCCCTCTGGCCCAAGCACTTGGAGCCTAGTCACAGGATGGACATCTCTGGGGGTTCGAAAGGCTCCTCAGAATAGGACTAGCTTCTTGAGCCAAGGCACCCCAAAGGGCAGGGGTGGGTCAGGCTTCTCTTTAACCTTGGAATTGAAACCAGGTCTGTCTTGTCAGTCTGTCTAAAGCCCCTCGGACACTCAGCCACCCTCTGCAGATCTCAGCAGGATCAAGACAGAGGAAACAGACATAGGGAGCAAATCTGTTCCCCCTGCTGACACCTTAAAATCACCCAGAGAGCCTAGCCAGCATGGCTCAGTGATTGAGCATTGACCTATGAACCAGGAAGCCACGGTTCAATTCCCGGTCAGGGCACATGGGCGGGTTGTGGGCCCAATCTCCAGTGGGGGGCGTGCAGGAGGCAGCTGATCAATGATTCTCTCTCATCATTGATGTTTCTATCTCTCTCTCCCCCTCCTTCCTTTATGAAATCAATACAAATATATTTTAAAACGTTAAAAACTTTTACTAAAACAAATCACCCAGAGAGCTTTTCAAAGATGAAGGGGACAAGTGTCTCTGCATCGGCATTGTCTGTGCTCCCTAGTGGCCTCCCTATGCACATAAGGTTGAGGACCACTGGCACAGAAGTCGAGAACTTACCACCGGGGTCACACTGGGCAAGTTCACTGCTGAGCCCCGAGTCCCCCTCTATGAATTAGGTGATGGCGCCCTAGCCAGCTTGGCTCAGTGGATAAAGCATTAGCCTACGGACTGAAGGATCCTAGGTTCGATTCCAGCCAAGGGCACATGCCTGGGTTGCAGGCTCGATCCCCAGGAGGGGGCGTGCAGGAGGCAGCCGACAATGATCCTCTCTCATCATTGATATTTCTATCTCTTCCTCTCCCTTCCTCTGAAATCAATAAATATATTTTTAAAAAAAAAAGAAATAGGTGAGGGCAGCAGCCATGAACTACCCAGGACAGAAAGCTTAGAATAGGTTAGCATCATGTGGCCCTGGGCGCATTCCTACCTGGGTAGGGCATAGGCCATCCACATCCTGGAAGTACAAGAGGCCTCCGTGGTCAGGGTCCCATCCAGAGCGGAAAGGTAACAATAGGAACTTGTCAATAATGTGGGCTCGAAGTTCAGGGTCACCTTTCCGGGTGGCGTGACGGAGCAGGAACCATCCAGCTTCTAGTGCGTGGCCTGGTGAAGGCTCAGGGTAAGGTAGGCAGTGGATTCTCTCCTACGCAGGGAGGCTCAAGCCCTGTGTTGACCACTGTGCCTGCCTTCCTCCCTAACAGTGGGAGCTGCTCTGAGCTCCCTGCCCCACCCAACAGCCTCTCCCATGCAGAAAACTCACCACCCCCCAGCCCACCCCAGACTTCCTCTCTTGCTGCCACCCCAGCCTGGGAGGCCTATCACCCCTTCTTTGCCTGGTCCTTGGTTGGTGGAGGGTGGAAGGAGGAAGGCAGTCCCCATGCTGAAGCCCAGGAACCAAGGCTGGTCACTTCCCTCCTCCTGGATGGCACCCGGCCCACCCTGCTCCTCACCTGCATTCTGGTGTCTCCCCAGGCAACCGGGGAGTTCCTTGCCATCCTCTGACACATTCTCCAGCACAGCCTGCCCATCCCTCTGCCAGGGGAAGAGAAGGGAATTCTGCCTTCAGCCCCCCACTATCCAACCAGAAAGACCCTCCTTCCCTCCATAATCTGCAGCTTGGGTAAGCCTGGCTCAGAGGTGCGTTTGAGGAGGGGCCAGTTCACTCCCAGGAGTCCAGAAAGCTTGTAACCCTTGCTTTAGGCCTGCCCTCCCCCTTCCAAGAAGGAAAAGGTGAAACACCGAAGAGGACTGGGATTGGATGGGCTGGGCTGCCCACAGAAGCGTGGAAGGACTTGGGTCTGGCTGGTTTCCTGCTCTCTGATGTGTCCCAGGCTCTGGCACCCTCCTTCCCTCTTGCCCTCGGCCCCACCCAGCTCCCTGGGCTCTCCACATTTCCAAGGGTCCTGGGCCCAGCCTCCCTACCATTTTTTTTGTTTTGTTAATCCTCACCCAATGACACTTTCCCATTGACTTTTAGAGAGTGGAAGGGAGGGGGAGAGACAGAGAAACATCGATAAGACACATCTATTGGTTGCCTTCCACACAAGCCCTGACCTGACCAGGCCCAGGGATTGATTGAGCCTGCAACCGATGTACTTGCCCTTGACGGAATCAAACCCAGGACCCTTCAGTTCGAGGACTGATGCTCTATCCAGAGCCAAACCGGCTAGGGCAAGCCTCCCTATCTTGAAGGGGACTATCAGGGCCCGGATCAGGGCGGGTGTGTGCGGAGGAAGAGCCCGGAGTGGGAGATGCCCCAGTCTGGCAGCTGGCATCAGCCTCCCGCCCCCACCTGGACATGCTGCAGAATCCTCTGGGCGCACCAATCATCCAGCTCCGCGTACTTGCTCGCCATCTCCTTGTCTGCCTCCCCGAGCTGCTCCACCAGGTTGAGCAGCATCATGGGCACCGCCATGGACTCTGAGGCTGGGGCCCCTGAGAGCCAGGGCCGGCCCAGTCCCGATGGGTCTTTCCGCACCCAGTGGACGATCTGATCCATCATCTCCACAGCTTCGCTCTGGGTCGGGGGAGGGGAGGGGAGGCCCAGGCTGAGGCTGCATCCCATCCAGCCCGCCCACTCACAGGACACCTTTCTCCACCCAGGGCCCACTCCGGGCCTGGCCCCAGGTTGGGTGTGGGGGGCCAGGGTGGATCTGCCCCACCCTGACTCAGAGGCTCCCAGTCTGGGGGTAAAGGCCACTCCCAGGCAGTGAGGTTGGGTCTGAAAGCACAAGGCGCCCCAGGAGGAGGGAGAGGCCCCCTTCCAGGTGGAAGCTGGGCAAGGATTGGCACCTTTGTGACCAGGAGAGGGGTGTTCAGAAGCAAACAAGACATAGTGCAATAAGGAGGGTATTGCCAGCAGCCTTGGAGCTCCGGGGCCCATAGGAAGGATTAACATTGAAAGCAGATCCAGCCTGCAGGCAGGGCCGGGGAAGGATTAACATTGAGAGCAGATCCGGCCTGCAGACAGGGCCCGGGGAAGGGCTTGCACGCAGAGTGGGAATGCACGTGGCTATGCCCAGCACAGGCCAGAGCACAGAGACGCTCAGGACAGCCTTCCTCCCACACACCTTGTAACGTGCTTCCCCTGTCACCCTCCACAGCTCATCCATGGCCATGATGTAGAAACACTCGCTAAAGATGGTTCGCTGCACCTTGACCGGGCGGCCATCCCTCGTCAGGACAAAGGCACACTTCTTCCCAGGAGGTGCCACTCGGGCGTAGCGCAGCAAAAATTCGCCACCTGGTGGTTGGGAAGTTGACATGCTAGAACTCAGGTGAGGACAATGCCTCCCCTTCCATCACTGTTTCTAATCTAGACCCACAAACTCCCCCCTCCCGCTCTCCCCCGCCCCCCACCCGCAGGAAGTATGCACACAGGAGCTATTGAGTAAACTTGGAAGTAACTTCTGGGGAGATGGGGCAAGGAGGGGGCACCTGCTTTAGCTGAATCCAGAAGTTCTGGGCGGCGGAAGCGCTCAAATTTGCGGTACAAGCGACAGTACATCCACACCTGGAGGGGCAGAGGGAACACGGCTTGAGCGGGGAGCAGCAGGGACCTCAGGGCTGTGATGAGGGGGAGTCCTAGATGCCCTGTCCGAGAGGAATAGTGTTTTGAGATGACAGGCCTTGTGGTGTGGGTGTGTATGCATGCGTGGACGTAAGCCTGACTTTGGCTTATGCCCCTGGGGGAGCTGCAAGCCTCAGCACATCCTTACCTGCCTCCCCTGCAGCCAGACATACTTGAGGTCGTCATACACCTTCCCGTTGCGGCCGAGGCAGGTGAAGAAGCCCCTGTTGGACACAAAGTTAGCAAAGGGAAAAAGGGGCTTGCACCCCCCACAGCCCACTGGGCCCAGCAGATGAGTCTGCTGGCGGCGGGGGGGGGGGGGGGGGGGGGCAAAGACCATGTTGAGGAGACCAGAAAGAAAAGGCGCACCCATGCTCCTGGTCGTGGGAGTGCTCCATCCAGAAAGCCACCACGCGGTCCAGCTCCTGCCCCAGACGCTCCTTCCAGGCTTGCAGAGTCTCTCCTTCCTTCTCCATGTCCTGGGGGAAACTTAGGACTTGGAGGCTCAGCTCCCCGACAGCCCCGACCTCTCCATCTTCCTGGTATCCAGCCTCCTCACCGGGTTCTTCTGTGCCCAAAACACCCCAGGCTTGAGTGGGCTGTCTGACCCGTCTCCTGGGCTTGGGGACCCAGCCCTTGGGGTCCGCCCCACCACCACCCGTGTGCGGGGCTGTCCTCCGGCCCGGGACAGCCCCAGGACTGATCCCACCAACCCCGGGGATCTACCCGCCACGGATCCCACCACGGGCCTGCCACGCTCAGAGACGCCCCCCACCTCATCCCTACCTCTCCTCCAAGAAGCCAAACGGAGCGGGTCACGGTCCCGTGACTGTCACTCAGCTGATCCAGCTTTGCCCCACCCATCCCCTCCTCCGGAGTTTGTAGGGCCTGAGGGCGGGGCCCGATGTGGGGGCGGGGCTTGGTCATCACTAGGCCACGCCCCCGCGCTCGGGCTCCGCCCTCACGCTCAGGGCTCGCTGAGACCCTCTGGTGGCTGAAGTTCGCGATTGCCGCTGCTGGAGCCCTCAGCTCAATACAGTAACCTCTTAGTGGGAAATACTGTACTGGGTTAGCTGGCTGGAAGATCTGGGGTTGTGGGGGGTGTTTTGGGGAACACGAGCCGGCTTTCCCTCCTCAACCACCTCCCCCTGAATCCTGAGAGGGGTCCTAGTGTGTGTGTTGGGCGGGGAGGGGCTAGGCAGGGCAGAGAGACCAAGGAGGATGGCCTCAGCAAGGGTATGAGGCTCAGGTAGAGCAAGAGAGGGGACAGCTGGAAGTGCCTGGACTGAGGCCCCTCTGACCTGTGACCCCACAGGGTGGGCAACTCCTGGATGAACCAGCTCCTCATCAACCGCTTTAGCGGTCAAGGTCAATACAAGGCAGCTCAAAAGCCATACAGCAATTGTGCAGGTAAGAGTGGGCATCCCGGGGGCTCTCTGCCTTCCAGCCCTCCAAGTTCTCCAGACTTGTTTGCCAGTGCCCAGATGTGGTCTTCATAGCTCTATGACTGAGCAAGGCTGGCTGACCAACTGTCCCTCACTTTCCCTGCCAAGGGCGGAATTATGTGGAGGCGGCAGTCCAGGGGCCAGATTGCCTGAGAGCCCTGGGCTCCCAGTGTGACTTGGAGGAGCTTGGACTTTTGGGTTGGTTGGATTGCAGGCCTCTCACCTCATCAGTGCAGCTTCAGAACGCGGCTGGAACAGAGAGATTCTAATGCCTGGGCATGGCCCTATACTGCAGCTCCTACTGCTGTTGCTGGTCTTCTTAATTTTTAAAAATATGTTTTTATTGACTTTAGAGAGGAAGGGAGAGGGAGAGAGAAACATCTATTGGCTGCCTCCTGCATACCCCCTATTGGGGATCGAGCCCCCAACCAGGACATGTGCCCTGACTGGGAATTGAACCAGGGACCTTTCGCTGTATGGGACCATACTCAACCAACTGAGCCACACCAGCCAGGGTATATGTGTGCTGGTCTTTGATGTCACAATGCCTGCCTCTCCCCGTGGAGGCCCCTGGGCTCAGTCAGGTCAGAGTTGGTGGAGTAGGGAAGACAGAGCTATGTCATAATGAGTAGGACCCCACACAATACGAGACACCAGGAGTCCGGCAGAGTGAGCACCAGGGAAAGAAGAGCTGGCCCTGAGAGGCTTCCTGGGAGATATGGAATTGGACTGGGTCTCCCTTGCAACTGTGAGCCGGCACTGCATGAGTTCCTGCCGAAGGCTGACCTTCCCATGCCCTTTGTGATGTTTGAGAATAAGACTGACCTCCCTTGCCCCGCCGGTTGTATTTCAGTTGGTTGAGTATCCAGTGTTGTCCCATGCACCCCAAAAGGTCGCTGGTTCAATTCTTAGTCAGGGCATATACCCAGGTTTCAGGCTCAATCCCCAGTGGGGGGCATCTAGGAAGCAGCTCATTGATGTTTCTCTCTCGTCAATGTATATATATATATATATATATATATATATATATATATATATAATTCCTAGCTGGTGTGGCTCGGTGGATGGAGCATCGGTCTGCAGACTGAAGGGTCCCGAGTTTGATTCCAGTCAAGGGCACATGCCTGGGTTGTGGGCTTGATCCCCAGTGGGGCGGCGTGCAAGAGGCAGCCAATCAATGATTCTTATCATTGATGTTTCTATTTCTCTCTCCCTCTCCCTTTCTCTCTGAAATAAACACACACACACACACACACACACACACACACACACACACACATATATATTTAAATAAAAATTTTAAAAAAGACTGGCCAGCGAGAAGGTGTGGTACAGGCAAACCTTAGAGATACTGTGGGTTCTGTTCCAGAACACTGCAATGAAGTGAGTTGTAATCTTTTTGCTGGTGGAGGGTCTTGCCTTTAATTTGTAAAAGACAGCCCTAGCTGGTTTGGTTTAGTGGATAGAGTGTTGGTCTGTGGACTGAAGGGTTCCGGGTTCGGTTCTGGTCAAGAGCACATATCTGGGTTGCAGGTTCGATCCCCAGTAGGGGGCGTGCAGGAGGCAACCAATCAATGGTTCTATCTCATCATTGATGTTTCTATATCTCTCTCCCTCTCCCTTCCTCTCTGAAATCAATAAAAATAGATGATAGATAGATAGATAGATAGATAGATAGATAGATAAAACTGACAACACTCTTTTCCCCTCACGGGTCTCTCCCCAGGAGACTGATGAGTGGTGAGCTCATTAGAGACCAGCACCAACTGGTATGGCCCTGCCTTCTGGAGTACCATGCAGGCTGTCATGAGGCAGGTGAGTGTGTGTTGGGACAGCAGAGGGTGGGTGGGAAAAACCCCTACACCCTGCGAAGGTTAAGCATCCAGTCATCTGTCACATGCCTGACAGATCTGCACAGGCCCCGCCCCTTGTGGGGCCAGCCCCACAGACCATTGGTCACAGCTGGCCCGCACTGTAACACCCCCCCCCCCGCATTGCTCCCCCGTTACTCCAATCTGAAGGACATGTGCCTGCCTCTCCCCGTGGAAGCCCCTGGGCTTATTCAGGTCAGAGTTGGTGCAGCGACAAAGACAGAGCTGTGGCTCCCAGTGTCAAGATCAATAGGACCCCACACAATACGAGACATCAGGAACCCAGGGAGTGAACACCAGGGAAAGAAGAGCTGGCTCTGAGGGGCTTCCTGGGAGAAATGGAATTGGACAGGCCTCCCCTGCAACCATGACCTGGCACTGCATGGGCATGCGCACTTGCCAGGCAGAGATGGAGGAGGCAGCTTTTGGTCCTAGAGTGAAGGGGTAAGGAGGGGGGGAAGGAGGCAGGTGTGCCGAAGAATTCTCCCCATTTTGTCATGAGCACTCCCTAACCCTGGCTATACCCTAGCAAAACCACCCCACCCAACAGCAGGGCTACCACAGTTGGTTCTGCTTCTTCCTCTGGGGGTGGTGCATAGGAAACCTGGACAAAAGGATTCACTCTTGCATCACTTGCTGAGCGCCAGATGGGAACCACCCCATGGGCAACATCCAGCGAGTTGATATTCTTTTTTTTTTTTTAATATTTTTTATTGATTTTTTACAGAGAGGAAGGGAGAGAGATAGAGAGCCAGAAACATCGATGAGAGAGAAACATCAGCTGCCTCCTGCACATCTCCCACTGGGGATGTGCCCGCAACCCAGGTACATGCCCTTGACCGGAATCGAACCCGGGACCCCTCAGTCCGCAGGCCGACGCTCCATCCACTGAGCCAAACCGGTTTCGGCGCGAGTTGATATTCTGAGATCCTTTTGGGGGTCCTGAGCCCCTGGTGGAAGGACCTCCGGCTAAGCCCTCCCCAACTGGCAGCTGGTGACCTGCCTAGCCTTTGCCCCAGTCCCCTGGTTGGGAGGGGTGATCTGGTCCTCAGACAGGAGCTGGTAGTAGCTGCTATGGGACCTTCTGCTGAGACAATCTAGTCCAGTGGTCAGCACACCGCGGCTCGCGAGCCACATGTGGTTCTTTGGCCCCTTGAATGTGGCTCTTCCACAAAATATCACGTGTGGGCGTGCACGTACAGTGCGATTGAAACTTCATGGCCCATGCACAGAAGTCGGTTTTCAGAAAAGAGATAGATGAAACAAGTATACAAGACGAGTGTGGATGGGAGTGTTGGAAGGGGTCGACCTCAGCAAATGTACCTCAATCAGATTGAGGACGTTTTTTAGCCAAGGCCAGCGTAGGAATACCCTAATTAACCTTTTGCGGTCATATTAAATTTGGACATGGGTGTCGTACTGGTCGGAATTAATTTCCATTGAAAGAGCAGTGATACATAACATGCAAGATTATGAAGGATAAACAAGATTTATTCTTTTTTGGAACTACGTGACTACTAGTAGAATCACTACTAGTAGAATCACTACAAACGTTATCACTTTCTACGTCAGTCAGTATTCAAGGTGCCAAAAAAAACTCTTCGTTACTTTCAGATTTGCAGTACACTTCTTTCGGTAACTTTCTTTTTGCCCTTTTGGAGTATTATTTTGAAATATCTTAACAAGCGAGAATGCCTAATTACAGTTAAACGTAATTTGTAAAGCTTTATTTGAAATTCTGTGAAGTATCTCTGAAGCTTGTCGATTTCTTCACTCTCAAAAGGCGACTGACTCGCCACGGTGTTTTGCATGGCAAGTGTGGAACGACCGCGTTTGTTTATATTGAGTTTCGATATTGAGTTTTGATATCTCCGATTTTTCGGGGCAATGTTTTGGTTCGTGACAAGGTTGCTTAGACACTTAAGCGCTTTCAGAGAAATTATGAACCGATACATGAATGAACAGAGTTAAGATTCGTACGGTTCCTTGCTGTGGTGGCTGAGAGCAGACATACAACCGGAACAGTAAAAAAACTTTAGTGGCTGAGAGTAGACAAACGACTGCAAAGGGTTAATAACAATGTACCTACCTATATAGTTTGTTTAAAAAATTTGACTCTCAAAAGGAATTTCAATCATTGTACTGTTGATATTTGGCTCTGTCGACTAACTTACCGACCACTGATCTAGTCCTACCAAGATCAAGGGCCATGGTGGAACCTTGAAACTTGTGAGGCAATTGGGAAGCAGAATCCCACTCACAGGCAGGTCCTGCAAAAGGCTCCCTGGGTATTTGAACTTGGGAGTCCCAGACACACTGAAACAGCAGGTGGTTATTTCAAAAAAAGTCTTTAATTGTTCAAAATAGCACAAAACGACATTGCACTATGGTAATATTGTCACGGGGGTTACTCTACAATAGAACGGGCGTACTGTTCTTAGAAACAATAAATCAAAGGGTGCTTGGGACGAGGGACAGGGAAACAATGAAACCAGGCGAATGGGCTCCAAGGTGACTAAACATGACATTTTCCACAGCGAAATATACTATAATACAACAACCGGAGGCCCCAGAAAGGAGCCGGGCGGTGGGGGC